CATAGGTTTTGATGTGCAGATAATATTAAACATTTTTAATAGAGCTCAATGTAAATCATTTAACTGTTGTCACCACAATGTTTCGAACAATATTATTTATGTAATTTTGAAGACACTTATGATAAATATTCTCAAACAGTTTCTCGCATAGCAATTGCTTCGACCCATTATATGAGCCCTTGACATACTAGCATTTACCGGACAATTCAATTGTCTATGTCAATACGTGGTACTATGTAATATCACTTTTGTATTTACAAATATTCTCAACTCACAGAGTTGACATTCCAGTGTATTATACATAATCACACTTCCATACAAGATATGCTAATGTCTCTACGACTGCCTAGTACTCCGGCTATGGACGAGATTCACACTTATCTTGAGAAGGAACTTAGTCGTACCCTCGCGGCTTGCCCCCATTGGTTAACGGCCAGGGTGAAACTATGTATTCCATGCTATTTCCCCGTCACTTACAGAATAAACCTGTAAACCACAGTCATCAACCGGTACTTATAACAGTGTACATTCTATGCAAAATATGACACGTAAATGGCGTACATCAAATGATGATGACTATCATAGTTGGTCTAGAAACAAAGAAACAAGCAAGACAATACATGCCCGTAGCCAGGGGTTGCGGGCGGGAGGGGGTTTGTTCGGACGAAACCCCCAGGCACGCTCAAAGGTCCGTTTTTTCAATGCACAATATTTTTTAAAAGGTAGAGTAATTTGTATCACCAGCGGGTTTGGAAGTGTTGGAAAAATTGCTCACTTTGGCATAGAATAACGATGAACCCTCCAGTTTATAGTAAATTATTGCCGAGTCCGCATTATACTCGTAAAGATCTTCCCGAGTCCGCAAAAACGCAGGAATGCCATTTCAGAAAGTTCAATTTTCAAAATTGGTCCCTCAGAGAGTATTCCCCCCCCAAGCAGAATCCTGACTACGGGCATGCAATGGAAGGTATATATATCCCTAACACATAAAAATCCACTGCTTTTACAGTTTGAGCTCAAATAAGCTGTTTATCTGCAGACGGTGTAATTCGACTAAACTAATCGACTACAGTGTTGTGTGTATACTAGTGTCAACGCGTTACGTGCTTCTTACAATAAACGAAAACCAACAACTCAGATTGGACATTGGCCTCGTCAACATCGCATGTTTGCTCTGTCAATATTAACAGCACTCTTGAGGTTGGACTTCCACTTAACGCGAACTATTAAAAATCGTTCGCTGACCCCTGAATGCACCATAAAAGCTTCGGGATTGTATACAGTTTATGAGAAATCTAACGTAAGAGAATATTTCAATTGAATTTGGAGTGATTATACAAACGAAATGTGGTTTGGTGATTAAATTCAGTGCAGTCAAATAAATTGATATTATTCATCTCCACTGTGCTCACAGTGGTCAATGGGAGGTGTTTTGTATTTTAAACTAATTATACCATGGATCTTTACTATAACATTGATCATGAGGGTTTGTAGTATGGTTACTTTTTTTTGTTATACCAAGTAATAGTGTACAAAGTGATTAACATTTTTGTACCTCAATTATGTATTCTAAAGTTATAGTTTACCAATTGGTAAGCTTTGTTATTATCTGGTGACACAGACTTGATCAGTCCATGGCCTCGTGTTTCACATTTGGTTATGACTCAACATGTTATACGGTAAGATATGCTCTTTGTTAAGCACCTGACATCGCTCATTGGCTGTATACCATGCTGTTCATGTGTCATGCTTTCACTGATTTAGTCTTTTTAATCTATGTGACAAATTTGATTGTGGATGACATTCGAATAAAAGTACTTCCTTGACGTTCTGCCGCTGTACTCACAACATACTTCCTCTTATTGAATTCACAAGAGTCGTCCGTAAAGTTCTCGTAGGTATTTGATTACGAGTTGAAAATCAATCAATATGCGCATGTGTTTGAAATGCAACAAGACAACCAATATCAAACGATATTGAGACAGTGGTTTGTATTTGAAAACTGAACTGATCAGCAAATGATTATTTCGCCCAATAACTAACCTTCTTTCAGCTTTTAGGTCAAGCTGTGATTAAATTAAAGTTGTATTAAAGTATTCTTTTATAATTAAAGGTCATGGAAATTAAGATCTGTTGATTTAACACTTAAATTGTTAGTTTAAACATTTTCTGATTAATATGTGATTGCTTCTGTACTAGTGGCTGTTAATTTTACATAATTTCCTCGGCATATTTTATTCTTACCATTACATTTTCCAGCTTATTATGATAATTTATGCAAAGGGGCTCACCGGCCTCGATCACGTGTACCGTACATGCGATGTTTCCTGTATATAGATTACATTATTGTATTAATAAATCATATGTAACAATAACTGGCTGATTAGAAATAAAATAATACAGTTTCCACTGTAAACATATCAACAAATTGAAATTTAACGAGACTACATTACAATGCTACTCCATAGTGTTATGGAAACTATTCATCATTGAGTCAAATGCGAGTGTCAGAACGAGTTGCACTATACTATTGCAAGAGTATTCATTGTTCATTGTCACCGAAGCTAAAACAGATCTATGTTACAAACGCCGGAATTTGTCTGACTTAGTCCACTGATTTATGGAGATGTGCTGTCAGCCACCTCGCCATTGTCGCTTCCCATTGTATTCAAGTTCCTGGTTGTCGACATGAGTTTGTAAAGGGTGCATGTAATGATGTGACTTTAGTCTGTAAATAACAAAATACAAGATTGCTGAAAACCCATATTAGACGTACATTTGAACAGTTCTAACGAGTGACATCGTCTACGCAAATTATGTGACCTAAATATGTGGCGCATGCGGTGTAAAATAATGTGCAAACACGTACAATTAATGTTACATTTAAAATATTAAAGATCGCGAAAATGAGGTGGTGGATTTAATATCCGGTCACATTTTTTTGCTTAGCTTAGGTTTAGTCATAAGTCTTTACTGAGGTGGGGGCCTTCTTTATCGCGAGCTGAGAATTAAGTAGCCACTTGAATAGTTATCGAATTGCTATATCAGCACGTATACTTGTTTACTTTAGCCAAATCGTAAAATCTTATTCACTCTCCACTACTTTACTCGGATACTTGAATTTTATTGTAACCATACTGCTGCATCTAGATCCGTTTCCTCAACCCCTATATTGGGCATAGCTTCCATTGAAGCTTAGCTGTTTGAATATCGAGTTAATTTGCAATTTTTCAGTTAATTTTCGTGAAACAACGGCTCAATTGATTGATTCGTCGCCGAAACGTTCGGGAATAATCAAAGAAATAATTTTATTGTGTGAAAAAAACTTTTTGGGGTTGACCAATGGACAAAAGCACAATGGAAAAAATCGCACAGGAAAAAATCATAGAAAAAAATCCTTCAGAAATCAATAACATTACACGGAGAAAGGATAACATAATTACAGAAAATCTATCACAAAATAGTACAAAGCTACGCTAAGTAAAAAGAAATGTTAGTTGTTTCTCCCATCGCTCATGACAATGCTTTAGTCTATAGCGATATTAGGTCGTGAATCGTGGCCGTCTCCTCACAAAATGAGTGAAATACTGCCCATAAAATTTCCAAATGTTCCTTTAATGCTAGTAAATGATAATAACATTTTCAAAACATGTCAAAATATGCAAAAAACGGTAATTTATATATAATATTAACATGGACATTTACAAATTGATCAACAAACAAATTACCCCCCCCCCTTGAAATAGCGACTTATTCATCGCATGAGTTGCGAATATATTCTCACTATTTATTTGAATACTTTGACTAGGAGTGCAAAGTTTTACAAAGTTAAAATGTATCATTATGTTTCTCTAAGAATAGGCTTACACAATTGTTCCTGTTATTAAAAAGTATTCAACAAAGATGGAACGCGGAAGTCTTACGTTATTAATTCTTCACAATTAGAAAGTAATAAAGTCTGGAACGCGGAAACGTGTCAGCAATGCGTAATCATTATATTTAGCAATGTGATATTTAGCAATGTGTAAGGGGACACACTCAAGTGTGCATTCATTGTTATTTCAAGAGGAATAATTCATAAATCCAAGTGAATGGATGCTGTCTTGAATTACTATTTATCTTAGCATGAAATGTGTATCTTTACAAATAATACATTTTCATTTGAAATATTTATACTATTATAAAACTGAAAATGTGCATGGATAGGTGTTACACCCCCGGTATATATGTGCGTACTATATAAGAGATCGCCGAAGCAGGAATTATTCATACATTTGCAACTGTTTGTGAAATGAACAGAACAATGCATTATCTACGGTATTTTGTATCATTTTTTTGTCATCGTTACCTGGAACCTGAATAGCATCAAGGCAGCTTTACCTCGCTCAGAGATTCGCCTTGAAAACAATGAATATAGAGGCATCCTTGTCGCCATCAATGAAAATGTGGCGGAAAATGTTAATTTGATTGAAAACTTGAAGGTAAAGTATTATATATATATATTTAGTTAGTAGACATTTTTTTTTTTATTTTTAATGAGAATATCCCTCAAGCTTGTTTAGTAACGGTAAATGCCGGTAAACTAGGTACTGGTACTGATAATATTATTATGTAACTGGTCTCATGACTTCTTTGTTTTTTTAAATAGGAATTGTTCACCAATGCATCCCGTGAAATGTACCAGGCAACCCATAATCGAGCTTACATGAAAGAAATAACTATCTTGGTACCTAAGACATGGAGTGATGCTATTACAAATATCGCAGCGTCATCAGAAATATTTGACAGTGCAAATATTATTGTAGACAAACCGAACGCTGAATGGGGTGACAGTCCGTACACCAACCAGTTTGCACCATGTGGCGAGGCAGGAGAGTACATACATTTCACTGAAAGGTTTCTATCAGATTTCGACTGGGTGTGTGTGGTACACGTACGGGAATCCAGGTATATTGATTATATTTTGTGTCCATCATAATATGCTGTGTCTAGTAGGCTGAATCTTACTTAATTGATCACTGGCGTTTAACGAGATACCGGCATTCCTAAATAACTACATATAGGTAACTATGTCATGCACTGAATTCATCATTAATAAATAGTTAATCGCAATATAACGACTTCTTTTTGGAAGTGTCTTGGTCAACAGACTATATAAAAACGACCAAAGTATGCAGAAAGTGTGTGTTCATTCGTGTTTTCTAACATTTTTTTCGGTTTAGGTAAAGTACTTGTTCACGAGTGGGGACATTTACGCTGGGGATTGTTTGACGAGTATGCCACCGATGACAAAAGTCACTTCTACTTAAATGAGGACAGATACGTTGAGCCAACGAGATGTTCTAGACATGTGTCGGGGATAGCATTGAATTCGGATGACTTTACAATCCAATGCAATCCTAATCCAGAAAAAGGAGTTTTGCCAAATAAATGGTGTCGGTTTTACCCTGAACGTGATGTAAATAAGCAAAAGGCAACAGGCTCGTATATGCACATGAATTTCTTGGACACTGTAAGTAAATTCATTTGTGAGTTTTTCAGATGTTTAGGTTCACTAGAATTAGTAAAATCACTGTACACTGTAGATATTTATGTTTGTTTAATCAGTTATGAAACTTCAATTCCTGTGATGACGCTGTTTTGTTTTGTTTTTTACAAAAAATAGACAGTGCATCGATTCATTTTTAAAACTGTTTCACGCTCGCATTTTTCAATTGCCAATTTTAGTGCTATGTGAATGAAAGCCCCATATATTGCCAGAAGGAACTGGCAGACGACAGCACCCTACAAAGACAAAATCAGTGGGCCATTCGAAAAAATACATTAATATGAATTATAAGCATATACAAATTTATGCTAATTTAAATGAAGTCTACAAGGTAGTGACATCGAGTGCATACATCTTATTTTTTCAGTGCGAATTTATAATTGATTTTTTTATACTGATAACATCACTCACTGAAAAGTTCCTCTCATACATAAAATGCAGAAATCAGTTACTACAGTTTTTTCTTCACATTTTTCAAAGCGATATACTAACAGTAACTGTTTTTCACACTTAAGTAAACACCTCGTTCTATTAAAAATCATATTAAGTGACATACGCTCAAATCCCTGTTTTCGATTGTAATCAAATTCTGACCACGTGCACAAATTCGATTGTATTATAAAACTGCATTTTAGCATTGACTCCTTCGTGTTGGAGAAATAAGAAAGAATATATCAGTAGGGATACTGTGCCATCGTGCGCTATCAGGGTGTACTGCTTTCTTTTCAGCTACACGAAAGTATTTTGTCTCCTACAATAAGTATGTCAAGCACGCAGCTAACTCTTCCTATATTTGAGAGATGTACCTGTTAATAATTAATGAATGTAAAACAAGAATTCATTGTCTTGTTACAGGTCACAGAGTTCTGCCATAGCAACGCCAGTGGCGACCCATTTTCTTTACACAACAGCATGGCACCAAATCAACAAAATATCAAATGTTCTCAAAGGAGTGCATGGGATGTTATGTCACAGTCACCTGACTTTATTGACGGCAATAATCCACCACGTTATGTATTGGACACAACACCAGACTTTATTATTGTAAAAACCTCCCCACTACGAATTGTATTTGTGCTCGATATTTCCGGTAGTATGAGTTTCGTGAGTAATAACGATATATTATTAGTTATCATTTGATTTGAAATAATAATATTAATAGTTATACTACTCACTACAATATAGCTCTTCCAAACTAAACATTGTTTCAATCTTGATCAATGAATGGTATCTTGACTCCGTTAATTACAGAATAATCGAATTGGTATTTTGGAATCACTTGCTACCAAGTTCATTAGGTACGTTGTTCCTGGTGGACATTTCGTTGGAATAGTCGAGTTTGATTCGCACGCAACTGTAAAGTCAAATCTAACAGAAATTACGTCATCCACCACACGAGAGTATTTAGTAAGTCTAATTCCGTCATATACCAGCGGCGCTACGTGTATTGGATGCGGGCTACTGAGCGGAATACAGGTAATAATCATATTATATCGAGACATGATGATATGCCACACATTCGACCGTTTTTAAAAATCGCACTGTTGTGCATGTACCCGCTAGACGTACGTATTTTAGGACTCGTAGTCTGAGAAAGGCGTACACTCAATACGTCACCACAACATTGCGTGTAGTATACGGGTATACACTGTATGAATAATGTTTCTACCACTGCAGGTTTTGGAGTCAAATGGACAAAGTGCTAGAGGTGGTATTTTGTTACTCATAAGTGACGGACAAGAAAATGTTTCGCCTTACATCAATACCATGAAACCGGATTTGATCAGCAAAGGTGTTGTTGTTGATACTGTTGCGCTTAGCGGTAATGCGGAGGATATGACCTATTTATCACTTGATACACGTGGAATAGCTTACTTGGATTCTGAAAACGAGCAGTCTACTGCCCTCAACGATGCAATAACTGCAACTATTACAACGCGATTTGGAGGAAGTCAGTCTGTCCCACATTAGGTGTGATTATCTGTAACTTGCTACTCATTGTTTTCGATTAATAACGTAATTTGTGTAATATTCATATTATGGTTATTCAGTTTCATGTCTAGGAACCATAGCTTACCATCTTATTACATGACACAAAGCGTAATGTTGTTTAATGCATTTCATATAAACGTTTTATTTTAAC